GATGTTATATGAATTAGGTAGTACGGTACAATTCCACAGTCAAAGCCATCACCAGAACAGACGACAGAACAAAATTAATTGCTATTTATCGTTCAAACTCAGGCGCCGTTTTTCAGAGATGCGAAATAAATACAAAACGACAGTACATCTGAAACGGAACTACCATAATATGCGGTTGATGCTTCCGAGAGACGGATACCAATGGAGCCAATGAGCGTTACGCTATTAAACTTGTTAAAGGCATGGATTGCTAGTACTTTTTCTAATAAGGCATAGATTGCTAATTCAATAAAGTTTGCTTTTGAACATTTTACCTTCTGCAACAAGATTTCATTTAGAGCTTTCTGAAATTTCAAAGTGAAGAGACACGACATCGCATTAAAGCCATTGCATTTCACTCAGTGTTTCGGGAGATATACCCGAAGGCCAGAACTAAAGCACAAAAGATAAGAAATGGCAAAACTACAAGCAAATGGACTCTGCTTGGCCTCTTGTACGGACACTGTTTTTTTTTTGAACGAAACGAAACGAAACAATCGAAACGGAGGGAAAACCAGCGGATCCAGTAAAACCCTCCAACAAAAGCGCAAAATTTCGAAATTTTGTATTAATTTTCATCCAATTTTAAGAGGCAACGTATTTTGTGTAATTTTCCACTTTTAGTCTGTTTTCATGACTTCCTATAATCTACTGCAGAATCAAAGGCATTAATCCTTTGGGGACAAGAGGAAATGACCCCCCACACTTTCGAAAATCAATGATTTTACATGAGTCGTAAAAATTCATTTTCAGAAAACACAAAAATTGAAAAACAGGACCAGCACAAAACATGCATATTTAGATAGAAAACGTCAACAATAAGCAAGGAATTTTAAACAGAACGCATGCATAGATGAATAAAAACAAAACTAACAGAATTCCATGAATAAAAAATACCAAAATAATTACATGCATGTTAGAGATGCGCATGCACATAAAGAATAATCATGCCTTAAATTAGAAATCATAGAATATATTCGACGCCAATCGATTACATTTTTTTCGAAGCCCTCCCTTATTGAAGCTGGCTTTTATTTATTATAGCTGGCTTTCACTTATGAGTAATTTCAAGATTTTTTTGCTGAAAAGCAGATCTAGCCGAAATTTTTATTGAATGGATTTTTAAGTGGCAGTTTGAACAGTCCACATGATAAGTCAAAAAATCTTGCGCTATGCATTCTTTAGTAATAAATTTTTCTTCTCTCCAAGCTTTTCTTTGAACTTCTCTTGCGTTGTCGTTCAAGTAGGAAACTTGGAATACTGTTTTTTTCCTGTCAAATTTGATGAAAAATTTAATGTGATTATATCATCGTACTGAACAAAGATCAACAAAATAAATACATTTAAAATAACGAATAAGTAAAAATGCATTACCTGATTTTCATCACCTAGGAGACTCGGGTGACTTCGTGCCTCTTTCTTGTTGTTTGAAAAAAGCTGTTTTTAGCTTGTTTAATATGCAAATAGCGCTCTTTCGAGGAAGAGTAGCAACGTAAGATTGTTGAAATTGCAGTGTCCGAAGCATTTTTTCCATAAATAGATTTTCTGATATAAGTGAAAGCCAGCTATTCACTTGCAAGTGACCGCCTTCTTTTTCAGGATTCAAAAAAAAATCCTCGCAAAAGAAAATTGCCACTTATTTCCTACACTTAAGGTCTAAGGAACTTTTCTAAAAGCTCACTCACTAACTCTCACTGAGTGTGACAAGAAAATCTTGATCTCACTAGTCAATGGTAAACTCATTTCCCATCAATAGAAAAATTTTAGCTTAAGTATTTCAAATCAAGCAATGGGTGGAGTAAAATAACCTCTTTAGAGTTATCATGTCATTTAGAAGCTCCACTCTGTCTGTGTTAGTTTGAGGGTGAGTGTGAGCTTTTAGAATTCAGGCGTAAATTGTCAACCATCAGGAACTGCTCTAACTTACACACATCTGATCTGTATTTCCTTAAGATCATTCAAAACGCGAGACTTACTTACGCACCATAAAAACCTTGGTTATTTTGATTCCTGCATTCCTTCGTCGTCAGTAGGATAACGTTTCTTTTCACAGTCCAATATTCCTTTGCAAAACCTTGCGTCTTTACAAAACTTTTGACTACGTTGTTATTGCTCAAAGCATACATCAAGTTACCACAATAGCATCACCATTAACGTAAGAAATCGCCTATGGACATGTTAAGCCATATCAAATTTCATATCAAACTGGAGTGATAAAAACCAAGGAAATCTTCAGTGGTTAGCATATGCTTATTTTGCTCATACAGAAAATTTTGGACGAAGAGGACAGCAATTGTAGTTTATGGATTCAAAATAGTAGTTCGAGAGCACTGCGAATGTGAAACAATCATATGCGACAGTACAGTATTTTGTGTTTTTCATTTGTTTCTCATGCAAAGTGGAATGAAAAGAAAATTCTTGCTTTAGATGAAAATATTCCATTGTGTCATCACTTGACACAATGTTAATCCTGAGCAAAACTATTTAACAGTGTACATTCGTATTTTGAAGCATATAAATTTATACTTAAAAATAATTTCGTTGCATCATTGTAATGAAAAAAGACCTAAATTATTAATAAAATGATTGTAAAATAAGCAGGGGAAAATTGTTGAATTTTGAAATGAGCTGTTTGCCTTTTTCATATTTTTAAAATACAACTAAAACAAATCTCTGTATGTACGCCTAAATAACTATTCTATGAAATAAAAAGAGCAGGCTTACAACAGATATTCTCAAAAACGAACCAATGAACTAACCTTCTATTGCATGAAGTAGATAAAGAATATTAGCAACGTTCAAAGCTTATTCTCAAAAACGCTCTTCACAATTTTAACCAACGGGTGAAACTCCCTCAAGAAATCTGTTTGTAGCGCTTGATTCTAATGACGAGACGGCAGTTTCCATTTACTTGCTTGTAGAAATGAGAACCACTTCAATACCCCAGTTAAATCATCACTCAAAGAATGTCTAGTGTGGAGTTTATCTTCTATGAATGTCTGCTGACCACCTAAAGGTGGGCGCATATAACAATGGGGCCCATCATCATTATATGCACAAACAACGGACATCCACGAAGAATCCAAACTACATATAAACATTCTTGGTCATGAATCACCATGACACATGAGTGGTAAGAAACTTGAGAGAGTTATTGAAGTGATGTATAGCACAGGAGACCAAGGGACTTTCATCAGTAATATACAATCTATAAAAAACGAGAAAACATTTTATTATATTGTTTGTGTAAAACGAAGATCTATTAGAAGATGGTATGAGTAGATTGTTCAGATTAGTGCAGTCCAGAGAAGGACTTTGGTGTTGGCGTAGACTAAATTTTCCACTTTCTTAGCAGTGACAAATCTAGGTTACGTCGAAATAAATTACTGCAGCACATTTTGGCATATATTTATATTTCTAAACTCCTCAGAGACAAGTCCAATGGTAAAATTACGCTCTTTATAAATTCTAAACTAACAGTGTTTTTCTGAAAGCATTTTTTTAATTTGAAATTGAACAGCTAATCCTAAAATTTTTTTTAATCAGCGCCGGATCCGCTACTGTTTCGTATTGTTAGTTATCTCCAGAGTCAAGGTTATCGAAAGCAACTGCGCCTGTGTTCTGGGATCAAGCCATTCACTTTATTCAGATAATAAGTTTCAAATGTACAATCATTTTGGCGTGAATTGTCAACTTTATTGCGCAATTTCTTCACTGGTCATGGCTTGGGAATCAAACAAAATGAAGTGGAATAATTGATGATTGCAATAAGTTCACTGCACGTGTACCAAATTTGACAACTTTGAATTCAGTTAACGTTCTTATATCGTCTCACAAACTTTGTGATTAACCTTATCTTTTACTCAAAGTAAAATTTCAAAGTGCATGCAATGTATTCTAGTTAAATGCCTACATTCTATTCACATAATCCTTCTGCGTAAACAAGTAACCAATGGTTTAGACAGTCAATGTCTACTTTCGTCAACATTTCATTCTATTCTTCAGGACTCGTAGTAAAAGCGTAGCTCTAAGCAATTTATTGACAAACGACAGCAACAAATAGTGTTTGGCCGTCGTACTTTTGAATGATTTGACAAGATGCTTAATTCAAGTGTATCAAGAATTTTTCCTCCTGCAATCAGCCGACACTAAAATTTGAATGATTCAGATTATATGAGCCAAGGAGCCGTAAACACTATAGAATACAATAAAGCCTAGTTCACACAATTGAATTAAGGACAAGAACAAGCGTAAACAAAAGATAAAACAAAGATAATCAACAAAGCATGTGACATAATCGACATAAGCGCAAGCATAGGAAAAATTTCAAGCTAAGAGAAGAACAAAAGAAGAACAAAAAGAAGCTTTAAAGAAAATCCCAAAGTCTTTGCCTTTATACACCTCTAGATCAATAGGAAAAAAGTCTCGACCTTCGTGTTTATTTTACTCGTGTGAACCAGGCTTAATACATACGTAAATATTTCAGCACATTTTAAATCCCTGAGAAGAAACTCTGCCAAAAAAACACCTTCTTGGGAAAATTACAGTTTAATCATGCATATTCTTAATGCTGGATGATTTTGAAGATGACCTTTTTCTTGAGACAAGCAGTATGGTCATTTCAGTTTGTTTTGAAAATTACAGTTCAACATTAATAACATATGTTTCTAATCGTGACATGCTTAAACATACCAAAGAGGCAGGTACTATAAAGTAAATGGTTTGAACCCGGGAGTATCGTTACATGTTTGTAAATGTAGATCGTCCAGGTTGGTATAGTCCTGAGATAGATATAGTACCTGGTACAGGCAGGTACTATATTAATTTTACGTGCCTGACAAATAAACAATATACTGAAGTTGAAGAAAGGGTAAGATTGGCGTTTTAAATGACGATAACTGAAAAGTATTCAATGATGTATTCATCTATGATTAGAATTAAATTTAAATGGAATCAAACCATCTTTCTTTTACGTATTATTATTATAGGAACAAATGATTATTTTCTAAAGGCTATAGTTAGAATATTTCATTGAGATGGACGGCAAATATTGAAAAAAAATATTCATGTTGGTCGTAAAAAAGTTCAAAATAATCACATAAATACAATGTAAAGAAGTCGTTGTCGTTAAGACGATATCATACCGCTGTTTTTAAAATACATACAATTATTTCTTTTTCGTGGATCTTCCACCGCATACAATAAAGCCTCGTCGTATACGTTGTAGTTAAAAACTTATAAAATACTTAAAATTAAATAGGCAACAATCACTACTTAATACATATTTGTACGAATGGTTTTCGCTCTAGGTTAACAAAGCAACATTGAGGAAATCTAATTGATTCCTCTATTATAATATCTAAAGCGTATTTTACATTGATCCGATAGTAAACGCTATAGATATTACATACCGACATTTAACTACGAGTGTAAACTAAAGTTTAACGTTCTCAAATCGTTGCTAATTCTGTGAAATTTGAATACTCGTCAAAGGACTCCAACACGCCTGACACTGCACTGTAACAAAATTTGAATTGCTCCTACATAAACATCAAGAGGAAATCATTAGAAATATCCAAACACAGACAAAAAATGACATATAAATTACGTAAACATAATCAAATCTAATATAAAATATAATACCTAATATAAAATTTAATGTATGTAATATAAGATGTAATATAAAATAAAATGCAACATAAAATGCATATGTAAATAACTTTAAGTAAGTATGAATAACTCAAATATAATTAATGACAAACAGTTCCAATGAAATAACAATGCAAAATCAAAACAAACCAAAACTTTGTATATGAGATTCACTTTCACTTGTGGAAGTCACATTTCACAAATGAAATATTTCATTTGATGAATAAAAACGATCATTACATGAAAAACGTGACATAATAGAGTGTTTTCATCAGTCGCCATGTTGGGGAAAATCGCACATAGTGAAAAGAAATTATGCAAATTTCATGCTTTGGCACTTTGATGTACTCCCCCAAAATGGCTGTTTTGACGTCACATGCAAACACTCTATTGAAATTCTACGTGATACTATTGTAAAGATGGTCCACACCACGTACCGCTGTATCAACAAACTGTGGGCGTCTACTTCGGATCAACTTTATGCACTGAAACATAATCGATGACTTGGACGATTTTAACTCCATCCACAAGATTAGAAATGGTGATATAGGTACCTGATCTACCTGCTCCATCACTAATTGAAAAATTGATATTTCTAAATTGAGTCAACGTTTTAAGGGCTCACTTGTAGTCGCGGTAACATAAGAATGGTGAATTTATAACATAAAACTACGTAAATAGTTCAATGAACAAAAGAAAAAATATTTAAAAACGTCCGAGTAAATTTAAATGCAGTACATTCAATCCATTAATTTTGACGGGGGGATATTTCAAAAGCTTGATCGCACATAAAAGTAGTTGACAAAAGGAAATCGCAAAAAAAATTATCACACTCAAATTCCTCAAACTATTTTAAGATTATCATTCATTGCAACGAATTTGATTACAGGAAACATGTCTTTGAGTAGCAAACTTCTACTGCAATACCTGCAGACTACGACAACAGGTCCTTTAACCTCCACGGATCTTTGGGCTTCTTCGACTTCTGAAAGGACATGCAACAAACTGCGAACATCTTTAGGTACGCCATGATTTGGCCATGATAAATACTGAATTATATGAACCATATGACCTTCTTTGATGTCCTACAGAAGAAATTTTTCGTGCTTCTTATAAACCTTCTTTAATGCAGTTTCGCATGATATGTTGAGTTTCTATAAGCTTAACATATTAATGTATGGAACCAACTTCAGTCATACGTCAAGATATTCTTATAAAATGCAATAATTTAAAAGCTTGTGCTTAAAGTGATAATGAAATTAAATTTTACCACATAGCTTTATGATTGCACTATAAAAATCATTTAAACTACTTAATAACTTTCTCGTTATTTTACTTCTTTCAAAAGATGTTAAAGTTAATTCAACTTGCAAAATCAATGTGGCATCACAACACAAAATTAGATAGAAAAAAAGCAGTTTTTGTCGACATGTCATTAAATAAAAATATCTACTTTCCAATATTATATTAATCAATCTATTGTAGCTGATTGAAAATAAAATGTTACACAATGCAAAACTATGATGCTTATTACATAATGGTTATTATAAGCTGTGATGTCAAAGTGATGTTATTGCAAAAAATATACATTAAATCTATTCATGAAGTCAGTAAATACTTTCAAATAACCAAAAAACAATCACAAAACTGGATGACAAAACTTCGTTTATTAAACACTTGACGATAATAAGCTTACGCTGCAAAATGAGAAACCGACTCAAAGTTTCCCAATATTTGTTTAAAACAGCACGACCAACAAATGGGATAAAATATAACAATGCCAAAATAAATATTAGTTCATTTCGTAACGAATTAGAAAAGTTAGTTTTACATTGGTAAAGGCAACTTTTACTGCGGCAAAGGAAACATGTTATGTTGATCACAAGACGTCACATCGGAAATGATGGTAAAGTAATATAAAGCCCGATTGCTTACGTTTCCGGCTTCCAAAAGCTAACTTTCAAGAAAAGTCCCAAGCTCGCAATGACAGGATAGATTATAAGGTTTTTGCTTTTGGTGTCAGATACATTACAATGACGAACGACAAATAAGAAGTAAAAATATTGTCATGGAAGGTTTGCAGTTTATGACACAATAAAATCATCCTGCAAGCTCATTTTAAATCAATGATAAAAAAGATATGTCCAATACTTCGCAACCATAAGAATACTAAACTACTAACCAAAGTTGGAGAGGCAATGAGCTTTCTGACGACAATGTCTTCTTTCTTTACGACTGAATCAAACAAAACAGTACATGTTCCATAAGGTCGACTTGTTGCTCTCTTCGTGGGCCAAAACATTGGATATTCCTAATAAGACCATAAGTGAATAACTGAAGCCTTTCATTCGTGTGCAAAAAACTATACACATTAAAAGCATGATTGATAAAAAGGAATGCTGGTTGTAAAATTATGATGTTGGTTATAATATTGAAATAACATAACGCTGTCCCATACGTATTTTACACTAAATGAGTAAATAAAAATCATGAGAACAATGTTATTACGACTGCGCCAAAGAGTATTTCGACGAAACACAAACAAATAAACAACAAAAAGTTAAGTGCAAAGATGAGGCAAAATGAGTGCAAGTTGTTTCTTTTGATCCCATCTCTCCCCATCCTGTTCAACCGATTTTGTTTGAAGTCCACACTAAACACCACCATGCTTACATCAAGTATAAAAATTGTTCCCGCTCTTATGAAAACGTCGCAAACCTTGTTATCATCAGTTAGCTGATCCAGCAAAACGATGGTCGTACATTTATATTGAGTGACCATCCTCCAAAAGTCGTTGATGGTTCCCTTCAAAGGCATCTGCGTTGCAATGAAGTAATTCTTGCCAAGATAACCCTAAAAAATCATTGACAAAGTCTTTAGGCATTTTTTTGCAATCACCAGGAAACTAAGACCTTTTTGTATAACGGTAGTCATTTTCAGATATTGTGTTCAATACCCGAAATGCTTATATTACATAAGAAATTAATAATCACGTGCAAATTATATTATTCAGAAAATGTCTAAACTTACATCAACAAGACATGCGTTTATGTAATCGGAAGTTTCTAAGTGTTCAACACGCCGAAGAATAGGACGATTAGTTTCCTATTCGTGTTCCTGCCACAAAACATTACCTATTCCCCCCATTAACAAAGGCGGGTACTTCACTTTGCATAAATGTCAGTGGCTAACTAGATATCTATCTCAATTTGTATAAATAACGTACTTGGATATATTTTAGGATAACGATTTTTCTTCTTGTTCTCATCCAAAAGTGCTGCTTCACAAAGTTCTTCAGGATGTTCTGGTGTGATTGATTGTAAACGCTGTCAAGAAAAATTTAATTCCTTCAAACTTTTGTCTTCATTTAGAGAAGTCTAACGTTGAATCTTGAGTCTTTAGTTAGTTTAGTCTAGTGTCTTCATCAGGAGTGATGTAATGTTGAATCTTGTTAATATACTTCTTGCCTTTTTTATTAATGACCTGACGACGACCTGAGTACGAGTTCATCTGTACTCCTATGTAACTTTTTTTTATCGGGAACGATTTTAAGTTGAAACTTAAGTCTTCACATACATTAGATGGGCATCAGCATAAGAAATGATCATCACAAAAAAATAGTACAAACCTCAAATTTTTCTTCAAATCCAGTTTTTCCGTTCCTACTTTTCTTAGAGAGCTGTGCAATCTCGATCTTGATTTGAACAGCATCAACTTCATTCGCTCCATATTGGATGTGATCGATAATGGCGTCATGAATGAACATGTATTGATCCTTGGTTGATAAGAAAATAATAAATGTATAAGATTTCTCGCAAACCTGGAATCCTTGTTTTGGAAAAAAGTTTGATCTGATGTGCTTTCAAATATGCTTTTAAGATTTGAGTCAGTTTACCCACAAATCAATTAAACTAAATATACTCGATCAATGCTGTTTGTCCAGATGTTCTTAAGTGACCTACCGCTGTCTAAACCATGTTTATGCGCCGCGATCTCATTTCTTCCACAAAACCAAATACATCAATGTTTGTTTCATATTCATCATCAAGATTATCAAGGATCTTATCTAAGGCAATAAATACTCCAGTACGACCAACACCAGCACTGAATAGAGAAGCAAGATCAGTTTAATGTTTGTTTAGCTACCTTCTTAGAATATGTTAACAAACAATTCCATTTATTGTAGATCATGCGTAAAACTAAGATAATATTTGCAAAACATTTTGTTGGGAGATGCCCCGATCGGAAGCATGTGATTTTGTTTAACAGTTTACTAATTCTTTAATAATGACAATGGATGAAGTCACGAAAAAGTTTCGAAAGAAGGTCCTTTTACCATGAAAAAATTGCATATAAAAATGTTCTTAAAAATGAATCTATCATAAAATATTGATGAGTATTTCAGGTATATTTCTAAACAATGTAACAACGCAGTTGCGATAGAACAACTAACCTACAGTGAACGACGACAGGACCGGATTTCGTCTTGTGCGATAGCTTGAAATGGTTCCTGAATGTCAAGAGTTGTGTTGGATAACGAGGTACTCCATAGTCTGGCCATGATTTGTAGTGAAACTGCTCGACTTCATGATGTTCGCCGTTCTATAAAAGTAAATGATACTGCTCATCCTTTTCCGAGGTAAAATTGAAAATAAAAAAAGGAAGCTGAAGAAAATGTATACTTTAGCTATATTTGTTATTGTCCCACAAAAAAATGATAACATGAGATGAACAATTGATGAACACTTTTTCACGAAGCCTTTGATTCCTCGCTTACGTCTCAGAAGCGTCACTGACGTTTTTCATTCTATACATAAATCTTCAACCTTTCATTGAAGTTTGACATCCTCTCATGGAAGTGTTATATATATTGATAACTATCCCTCCCATCTCTTCCCCATTATGTGCAGTTCTGAGATAGTTCTGTTCATGTTGGCATTTCGGCATCATTTGCTTAGTGGTGGTGATTATCAGTCAGGTGAGAAGTTAAATCCGGTATGTCGTATTTGTCGTGTCTGGAATTGTTGGTGTTGGTATTTAAATACGGCAGACTTCACTCGGATAATGGCAACCTCTAAACATGTCTAACATTTTAGTCAACACCAACAACAGCTACAGTTGTGATAAGAGCTTGACTAGCCTCGAAGATGTACAAATACATGGAATAACCTGTTTCGTTCGTAAAATGAACGCAGACATAAATGAACATAAAAAAAAACTATATGATTATGTGACAATTCTGGGTCAGGTTTAAAAAAACAACAAAAAAACCCAATTTGTTTAGCAAAAAGAATTGGCTCAGGTCTGCCTTATATCTTATTCAAGGGAAAATAAACATACAAGCAGCAACAGAAAGAAAGACTGGAAACAAAAAAGTTACCTTTTCAACAACCATAATGCGAGTGACATAATCAGCGAATGTTTTTGTCTCAGTGATGGTCACTGTAATTTCACCGTATACGTTAGATTCATCTGGCCAATATTTTTTACATTTCACCTTTAAGAAGAAAGCGCAAAAGATAAAAGATCTCCGATGTAAAACCATCCAAAATAACATTTTCATACTTTTCCCATTTCTTTCAAAGTCGTCAACATTACAATTGTTGGACACTTTTGTTCAAAATCATCCCAGAAATCGTTCACAGTTTTAGGTTTGGGACCTACAAAAAAGAAAAAGAAAAGTGTTTCCGCAGGTTTCAATTAACAAAGTAAGCTGCAACTCAAACATCGGAAGTTGCATCACGCGCCATCAATCCAATCACGTTGAAAATTCGTCGACGGCATCATATTGATGAAATTTTGAACTAATAAAATACCTTGGGTCGCAATGTAGTACTTCTACATTTCCCCTACAAAGTTAATAAAGGATTTATAAAGTAAATGGTTTGAACCCAGAGTATCGTAACATGTTTAGGATCTTCCAGTTTAGTGGAGTCCTGAGAAGGACTGTTATTGTTGATGTTGACTGACGTTTCGACAACCTTAGAGGTAGTCATCTTCAGAGTCAACGAATCAACATCAACAACACAAGTCGTTCTCAGGACTCTACTAAACTGACACTCTACATCCAAAATCATGTTCAAGGATGTATAAATTGAAAAAAGAGCGAATCTTTAACGTAAACTGTCGACGATGTTGCGAGCAAAAACTGCTTTTCAATGAAACTTACGTCGACAAAGAAGCGTTGATATAGTCAGATTTTTCATCACATGAGAGTATCACACGAGAATGGTCGTCTAGAAGAGACAAAATAACGTTTCGAACACACAATTTTCTTTCTTTTACATAACAATTACACTCCCACATATCACTTTTTAATTGATATCATTATGTTCAGTGGTTTGCAACGTAAATTGGGATTTTGTTTCGCCATCAGGTTTTGCTAGTGTTAAAACTTTTCCACGGAAAAATCTCTATCATGCCACTGCATTTAGTGAATGTAAGGAGGGGTGAGCCAGTACGATTATTTAGTCCGGCTGTGTAAAATTTTTTACGTTCATCTTTAATTTGAAAACAATAAAATTCTAAAGAAATAAATATGATGATGATGATCTGAAATTTACATAGCCGGGCTAGCTGTCTTTCCTACTTTTGAAAGGTATCTAGGCCAAACATTTTTGCAAGTGACGGTGTTTTAAAAGCATTATTGTGGGTATTGTAAGGTAGCTGTGTCAATAATCTGACACATGACAGTGTTCCCATAACAACTTTGTCAGTATTGCATGGTTTTTGAGTCAATATAATCTTACACTTGACTGCGTTTCCATATCGATTTTTGGCAGAATTCATAGGACTTTTGGCAATAACCCAGTTGCATTTCTGACCATTTGGTAAGTCCTGCAAATTTTAATAGTAAGCAAATACAAAACTGAACAAGTGTGTTAAACTCATAGCTACTGAAACGTGAATCCTCATACATTTGGTTTGCGTAGTTTACCCAGTAATGATCTAATGTTCCGGGATAGGTATGAATACACAATCTAATCTCGTATATAATTGTTTTCGGTTGTGCATGAAACAGCCGTGTTAGAGTTAAAAAGAAAACCACCTAAGTTTACCTATCAGTGCGGCGGACGTATTCTTTTTTAAAATCTCCGCACTTTGCAAGCCAAGACTCAAACTTTCATTTCATGACAACAAATTTCATTTTTATCACCTCGTTCCAGCTTCCACCCTTCGTGAATTTTCTGCTTATTTTTAATGTTGGATTGAGCGGAAGATGCTAAACTACTCATAATAGCACATATACTATGAGAAATTTGACTGAATTTATAGTCCGCTAAGGATTTCAAATCTGTAGAAGAGAACACATAAAACACGTTACCTCAAATTCGAGCCTCAACTCCTCCATGTTTTTTCTTCTCAGTTTTTTTACGTGCTCAGTAAAATTTACGAGTGGAATTGGTAACCGATTATGGGTCTCGATAGCTGAAAAATAACAATGTGAAAAATATTGTCAGATAAAGGACATAGCTACACAATGGCTATGTACTAATATACAACAATTTACTATGTCAAGATAGCTTTATCATCAAGCTGTTTTGCTTTTCATGCATAACGTTACGGCAAGCGTATTGTCAATCATTTTCATAGTAGGAAATGTTGTAAATATAATTAACTATCTTGAAATCAGATTTATTACACAGAGCTACCTGGAACTCCAATTAAATTCAAATCAAACCACATTATTATTGACACCAACTACATACATGGAAAAAACTTATACTTTTTGTCGACTGACCGAGCGTTTCAATAAAACATGTCTCATATAATAAGCAATGTAATCAAGAAAAACTACCAACGTTATAGAAAAAACGATATTTTTCAAAAATTACTTACTTTCTTTGTTTCCATACATTTCTTCTTCGGAAATTGACTTGTTTACATAAATATTTTCTTCATTTGGTCGTACAACAGGATCCGCATTGTCATTAACGATGAACGCGTAGTTTCTAACGGACAGCTCTTGTCCATTCCTATCCTCATGTTCTGATTGCAAATGCAATTTAGGCTCTTTAACAACAGCACGTCTTCTAGAAAAATATACCATCATTTGCAGAAGACAGTAGTAGTAGAGTACCCACGAGTTGATTGTTCGTCGTTTTTTGTACGCAAAGTTTGGCCTGCTTGTACTTCTTAGTACAAAATCTTCTTAAGCGTATCATGCTCCTTTTTATCTTACAAAACAGTGCTTGCCATTTTTTAAAACAGAAAATGCTTCATACGTTCTCTTTAATTACAACCAAAACAATATCCTCAGACATTGTCAAATAGTGTAAAAAACTAAGAGTTGTCATTTGTTTGTGCATATATTCAGCATGTTTCTAAATTCCTTATAACGAAGTTTGGTAAAATCTTGCAAACATATTTAATGTTCAATTGTATTTGATAATTTCTCTTGTTAACTCTGAGAAAGATGGGACAATACATGATGCGCAATTGTGAAGAAGAGTCTGATATTTAAGATAAAAAAGCATTTGCAGTGTTTCTAAGCTAGTTATATAAACACGTAAGATTAATTGCAAGAAGTGAAAAGTTGCATGTGAAAATGTCAAACATTCACCTCTCACACTAATGCTGTCGGTCGACTTTACTGTTCATTTTAAACTCCTCCTACCTTCTCCAAAGAATTATTAGGACCACAAAGACGATAGCGAAAACAACAGCAGCTGCAGAAGCTGCAGCAATTGCAGTTACGTTGTTATCATTGTTATCATCATCTTTACTATCGCCTAAGAGAGAAAAAACAGAGAGAAAGACACATGCCCTTCAATATTGCATGCAATATCACCACACGATTGAAAAGAAGCAGTGTTCAGATTTTTCCTTATCGAACTTCAAATTTGCACATCGTAGAAAGAATGCTTCTGAATCCATCAAATTCATTTATATAAAAACAGTTATTTTATTGGAAAAAAAAGAAAAAAAATTTCCACTGTCCATTTGGCAATCTTTCTCCGCGATTTCGTTAAGTTATGCTTCGACTGTTAATAAAGCCGTACTCTTAAACTCACCTGGAAGCGGAAGTAGCTCTGAAGCAGTTCTTGCTGAAGGACTCCATTCAGTAGAATAATAATCTCCCTGATAAGAAGTGCATTAAATTTTGATAAAAAAAAACCCAAAAAGAAGTCATTAAAAAAAATTTAAGCAATTACATGATCATTTATCACCACACGCTGAAAAATTCGATAAGTAGTATTGGGTTTTAGAGGAGCGTTATAATAAACTCTTTCGGGAGAACGACGACCTCGTGTTCCCGAAATACTTGAATATGAGCCATCACCAAGTATAAACACGAAAATACCATCACCACTTGGCTTAAGTACCGCAGCAACGTAAAGGTTTGGTGGTGAAGGAGTCGAATATGTTTCTAAGTCTTCAACATTTAATGTAAAAGGCGATGGAAGATTCTGTCTGTCACCTTGCATGGCAATTACGAATAAGTACCTGTAATAAAAAAATAAACATATTTTCCATGGGAAGCGTATTGCAAAAAGACACCAAAAAGATCAATGGTTCAAAACAACGATAGCATTTGAGTTTAAAATTTATTTTTTAAATTTAAAAAAAGATCATGAACAAAGTTGACTGACTATCCTAATAGCCAAGATTAATATGGCTAAGTAGTGAGGCCAACCAGGAATTGCTATATATTGCACCCTCGATCCAGATTGCAGAATAAGAAAAAATAAAATATCCCTAGCAGCAGGTATTTTCGTTATTCGTCTTTTCTAAGAGTCATGATTAACCATGCACAATTATAAGCCTTTAAGTTTAAATATTTATGAATCAAAGAGTTATAAAATCTGACTGCTTTTTGTGTTATTTCCATCAAGTAAGCAAATGTGCTGAACCTAGTGTTTATAGGCTCAAAATAAATGATCTAAGAACTTACGTACTATAACTTACTCATATTTAACCGTAGGAATTTCTAAAGAAATTGTCAAAGTTTTTTCTGACGAGTTGAACGTTGCTTTCGGAGGCACAAAAATACAAAACCTATTTTAAAGTGCACAACCTCCCTACATTAATTAGTAACAGTTAAACAAAGCATGAGAAGATTTCTAAATGAAAACGTACGTCCGTTTGTTATGGCCATTTGCTTTTCACTGTAATTTCCAAAACCAATTTTTGTACTTGCCAAAACCCACACATAGTACGTCGTCGCTGGTTTCAACTCATTTATCAAAAAGCTTTGGTATTTGGTAGTGAAGGTTTCTGAACATTTAAAGCTCTCACTAGGTGTTATACAAACAGTGTAATTGACAATTCTCCCGTTTCTCTTGCTTTTATCAGGTGGCTCCCACGTGACTGATAAAAGAGATGATGACAGAGATTGTTATATTTAGAGGAGGCCCTTCAGGAACTAAATAAAAAGACAGTCAAAGTGTCGCATCATGCTGTATAGTTGTATTCAAGAAAAAACATTTAATCAAACGTACAAAAATATACAAGGGAACAAAGCAGTTGTTGGCCAAGGGTGGATTCAACTTGCAAAAATGGAACTCGAATTCCAGTAACAAAGTGAAGTCTGTCGAAGTGTTAGAAGGTAACAAGAATTTGAGCTTGATTAGTGACAAGTCAAGCGTTACACAAGATGATCAGTCCTTTACAAAGTCGACAATTGCAAAAGAGTAACTGCTCACGGAACCCACTCAAGTCAAAGTACTAGAAATGGTGTGGGATACGATGGAAGACACTCTATTCAAATTGACTGAAATAATCGAGTACGCCAATTCGTTACCTGTCACAAAGCGATCGTTGTTGAAATGGTCATCTAATATCTTCGATCCCTTTGATTCTTGTCTCCTTTACGATAAGGCTGAAGATTCTGTTTCAAATCATGTGCTTGGATATACTGGGTAGGACTGTGAACTGCATGGCAATCTACGTGAACAGTGAAACGTTTTATTGTCAGAGTAAAGGTTTCTAAATGATGTTCGTGTACCGAGGTGCTATTATCCACCCCAACCGAAATACTTTACTACACAAGTTCATGGATTCAGTGATGCATCTGAAAGTGCAATTGGTGCTGTTGTCATGTAGGAACAGTCTATGAGAATGGTACCATCGACGGAAATTAATCGCTTCAAAGACAAAGGTCGCACCAGTGAAAAGCAAACGATTCCCCGATTAGAGCTGGTGGCAGCGACTGTACTAGCGAAGTTAGTAGATTCTTTGTTAAAGGCACTCAAGTGGAGTCTGGAAGTTTTTTATTGGGTTCACTCGATGACAGCACTTCACTAGATACGAAACGATCGAGCATGGAAACCATTCAGCATCGAGTGAACAAGACTCGAAGTATTTCATTGACGGAATCTTGGAACTTTTATCCTGGATCACTTAATCCTGCAGATTTACCCTCACGAGGTATTTCTGGGCAACTACTTTCGAATTCTTCCTTATGGTTCAATGGACCCAAATTCTTGGCAAGGGCGAAGAAGAGTGGCCAAACGTCCAGTTGGCGACCCTCACAAAGTGACGAAGTTCTGAGGGAAATTGTGGAAGAGAATCCGAATGTCGTGAGATCACTAGTTTCGAATGAAATCGAACAACGAGCCATGCCAGATCTTAACAAAGCATTCTACATTACTCGTTATAGCTCTATGAAGAAACTTCTTCGAATAACTGCTTATGTAATGAGATTCATCAACATGTTAAAGATGATGCCACGGTGCGAGCAAACAACAAACTCACAACCTCGGAAGAATTAAGCTCAGACGAAATAAGGAAGGCGCAGCTGCTATGGATAAGGTCTATTCAACAACTATCCTTTGAAAAACAAATATTATTCCTTCTGTCAAAGAATGCGAATTCTTCAATACCTATTTACGTTAAGCAATTTGGGCAATTTCTCGACGGTGATCACGTGATGCGGTGCCATGGGAGACTGAAGAATTCATCGCTGAATCTGGAGAGCAAAAATCCAGCATTTCTTCCAAAGGAATCAAGATTTGTGGAGTTATTAATTTGCGATGCTCACCACAATGTGAAGCACAGCGGGATTCGTGATACACTAACAACCATTAGAGAGCATTTTTGGATAATCCGTGGTCGAGAAGCAGTAAAGAAAATCGTCAGGATATGTGTCGTTTGTCGTAAAGCCGAAGATCTTCCTTATAGGGGAACGCTTCCTCCAGATCTTCCTGTTAGCAGAGTGTCGGATGATCCCCCTTTCACAAACGTAAGTTTGGACTTTGCAGGACCGTTGTTCGTACGAGAGAGTTGCGAAAGGAATAATTTGTCGGATAATCCAACAAAGGTGTATATTGTATTGTGTGCCTCTACTAGAGCCATTCATCTGGAGCTCACTACTTCCTTAATCGTTCCAGCCTTTCTCCGCGCGTTCCGCAGATACACTAGTCGACGAGCACTGCCAGCTGTTCTTATATCCGATAATGCTAAGACTTTTCGAGCTGCATGCTTAGAAATTCGCAAGTTATGTCGTTCTGAGGAAGTGTTATGCTATCTTGCAAACCATCAGATTACATGGCAATTTATCGTCGAAAAGGTCCCTTGGTGGGGAGGCTTCTGGGAACGTTTGATTCGAAGCGAGAAACGTACGTTGCGAAAGGTAGTTGGTAGAACCAATCTAACCTACGACGAGTTCCATACTATTGTGGTTGAAATCGAGGGCGTAATAAATGCACGACCCCTAACCTACGTGTACGACGATGAAGAAGCTGTATCTCTTCCGCTAAGCCCGTCGCACTTGTGTATGGAAGACGAATAACGACCATGCCAAACAGTGAGCACTTTGAAATTCAGAGCATCTATCAATCTTTGACGAGAAAGGCGAAACATCACAAAAATTTGCTGCAACGTTTTACTCTTCAATGGAGAAACGAGTGTCTTTTAGCCTTACGAGAGCAATACACTTCAAAATCAAGAGGTAATCAAAATCCCGAAATAGCAGTTGCAGATATCGTCATTATTCGCAACGATCAAACAAAACGTATCTTTTGAAGGTGGCGAAAGTTGAACAACTGTTACAAGGTGACGATGGAATTACACGAGCTGCACAAGTCAGAGTCCTTCGTGGAGATTCTAGTCATTCACACTTGTTGCGACGTTCTATCAGGCAACTTATTCCAATGGAGGTTCATCAGGAAGAAGACAGTAACGAAAGAGTAGAGAGCGATAAGTACGGCGAAGAAGAACAAGTGCTTCGTCCAACTGATCGACTACAACGCAGCGCGGGAATAACAGGACAGTTGCGAAGATTGCAGAATACAAACAAGTTCTAAATAACTGTACATTCTTAGCTAAACATAGTTTTGTTTTTTTGTTTTGTTTTTGACCGCATTTTATTATGTTAACCCTGGGAGTGAAAGAAAGATTACAGTAATAGTTATAAATGCACAATAGAAAAAAAACATGTCAATCATACTTCAGTAAAATATACATATCGAAGGCGAAGACATCTTGTTTATTCCGTAGAAAAATTTGTGAGTATATATTTCAACGATCATTGAAGGTAGCGACTGTAGCTGTTATATATATGCGTGATTTTAGTTTTTTTAAAATAATGAAACTTGGTTTTCTTTCAATTTATGCTCTATTCTTCTTACTCGGTTCACTCTAAATTTCAACTTGTGTTTTAAGAGATTTATTGAAAGATGAAAAAAATGCTTTTTGTGGATAGCGCTAAGGAAGCGAAGAAAGCGAGATCAAATTAAAGTCAAAGCAAATCATTTATTTTAGATAAATAGATTAAAAACCCAGGACGATG